AGAAAAGGACTAAACTTCTGCTTTAAGTTTATGAAACAAATCCTATTGTTTTTAGGCTGGGCGTGGTGGCGCATGCCTGTAATCGCAGCACTCAGGAGGCTGAGGCTGAAGCAGGAGGATCCTTGCTAGTTCAAGACCAGCCTGCGCTACAAAGTGAGCTCAAGGCCAGCCTGAACTGCATAGCGAGACCCTGTCTCAAAAAGACAAAAACAAACAAACAAAAAACTATTGTTTTAAATTGACATTGCCTCCAAGTCAATAGAACTCTCCTATTAGGAATCTGAGACAATTATTTTGAACTCTATGTAGGATCCAGTAAACAGTAAGTATTAAACAACTATCTGTTTGGTTGCCCACATAGCTTTTTTCTTGTCCCACACCTCTGTCACTAGTTAGATGGCTTAGAATTCAAGTAGTAAAAGTTAAACACATACACAATGCATAGGGCCTTCTCTTCTAGAATAAGAAATTTTAAACTTGTTCAAATTTAAGTATTTAGATGCTATTATGGACCCCCCCCATTTGAATATGAGCATGATACTGTGATATAATCAATATACATTTGGTCTGTGCCCTGCTCTCTGGCTCCTAAAACCCCTGGGATCTCCCCTGGAATTATGGGGGATCTATGGTTCTATGAGGTAACTCTTGGCTTCTGGATCCACACCCTATCTTCTGGAAAAGGAAGACTGAGGCAATAATTAATCCTGCCTCCATAACAAAGCTTCCAGAAAAGTCCCTGAGCTGTGGGGTTTGGAGAGCTCTGAGGCTGGTGAACTGGTGCAGCACGTCATACCCAAAGAGGGCCTGGTACCTCCCTGTACCTTGCCCGATGCATCTGCCCTGTGCCTATTCCTCAACTGTTTCCTCCGAATAATAAATGAGGATTAAAAAACGCTTGAGTTCTGTAAGCCACTCTAGTTAATATGGGTATCTAAGGAGGGGGGGAGGGGTACACTGATTTACAGCCTATCAGTCCAAAACCACGGTGACAACCTGGGGCTTTCAATCTGTCTTTGATATATTGTGACATCATGCCCTTAACCTTCAGGATCTCTATTAATTCTGGTTAGTGTTAGAATTGAGCTAAATTGTATAACACCCAGTCAGTCTCCTCGGGGGAACTGCTTGGTGTATGGGGAAAATCCAAATACTTCTTGGTGATGAGAAGTGTTCTGTGCCATGTGCATTATGAGAATGAAGTAAGCCACTGAGTTTTCCTTATCTCTGCAGTTTGTTTGTCATCTCAAACAATCACACCCAAGAGTGAAGATAAAACTGACAGGTGTGGCCCATGCCTCTCTCCCACCAGCAGAGGGCAGGAGAGGACAGAAGTGCAAGGAGGGATGGTCCATTCTTACAGAACACCTTGACTTTCCAAGCTCTACAGGCGTGTGTTTTGAGCAAGACCGCAAATCATCTAAAATTAAGGTATAGTGTTTACAGAAATGAAGACTCCAACATTCTGTACATCCCCTAAAACACTGTACTACATGAAAAATAGGTGAACCTTTGAGAATTCATAGTGTCACATACTACTTCCTCCTTATTAAAAACATCAATAAGCTCAGAGAAACAATATAATCTATTATTAACATTGTTCTCTACAGAGTAAATATAATAAGTGTGTTTGTTTATTTGCTTAAGTGCCTGTTTGGGGGAACCCGAAGTGCTTTGTAAACACATTAATCCTCTTATGAGGGAGGATTACTATTCCTATTCTAAATGAAGAAGTGTCTTATGTAAAACAGTACATAGCTGAGGCTAGAACCAAATCCATGATTACTTGATTACACATCAGTACATTAGTTCTCCCCAATCATCAAGAAGTACACACTTCAACTGCACGCTTTGTAAAGACTATAAACTTCAGCAAGGCTTTGATGTGCACTGATTTCATTCAATTACAAAATGTAAATTTGTTAGTCTCCTAGGAATGTCAGAGCTTGGCTACCAGAGAATCCATGAACTTAAAGCAGAAAGGCTAGGGGGAAATTTGCCAAACTGAAAGTTTCACCTGTTTTGCATGGGACTAAATTCTCATTCTACTTTGAAGAAGCCAAAACTGTACATGGCAATGCAATGAATGTCGCGTTTGAAAAGCCTTGTGGACCCTCAACCAGTACATTCAGAATCCTAACCTTGCCCCAATGAAAGACTGACAAAATGTTTTATTTAAATGAGTGATTAAATAAATAATTTAAATTACACAGATCACCTATTACTCTCCATTACATTAAACTCTCCTGAGTAAACAACCAGTTATCAGTTTAATTACCCTGTGTAAGTCTTATTATACAGGGAGTCTCTTAAACAGCAAGTCAAAAGGTAAGCAAACAGCCTCCTTTAAGGGTGCATGTTCTCCCAGCTCCGCCCCGCCTGCTTTATCTTTTGTTCTCACATTTGAGTCCTCTAAATCACTGGTTTGAGGACTGGGAACTTTCTGGACCAGGAAATCAGAAAAAGAGGGAGGGGTCGTTGGAGAAAAAAGTCAGTATTGGGTTGCTAAATTTTTATTCTGCTAAATATAAATATCTTTTGTTTTTTTTTTTTTTTTTTTTAAAAACCTTCCAACTCTTCTATTCCTGTTCTATCAAATAAAAGACACTGTAACACTTGAAAGGACAATCTCTTAAATCAATACATTCACCGTTAAAGGAAGTCATCACCTCCACCTGTCCACTCACTCAATCCACACCTACTGAGCACAGGCCACGAGCACTGTTCTAGGTTCTGGTGATACAGGAAGAAGCAAAGGAGAAGAGGAAGAGGAGAAACCTCACACAGATTACCTCTTGAGGCAAAGACAGACAAAATAAAGAAATAAGCGAAATAGATACTATATGAACTAGTGTTAAGTGGTAAAGAGAAAACCGAAGAAGGTGGACATTTAACACTTGGGACATCCCTTTACGTATGATGGCAGGGATACTGCTGTTCTGCAGGGGTGACATTTAAGTAGACACCTACAGGGAATGAAGGACTGAGCCTGGAGCTAAGTGGAAAGGGCACTCCGAAAAAGGAAGCAGCCATCGCAAAAGACCTAAAAGAGGGAATCTGGTCAGCATCTTCAAGAGACACTCAGCAGTCAGCAAGCAAAAGAGGAGGTGAGAGGAGGTGAGATCGAGGGCCCAACAGGAGCAAGCTTCTGCAGGCCATGAAGACCGCTCTCAGGACCTCCCTGTGAGAGCGGGTGAGCCGGGCAGCCACCGCAAGGTCTTCTCACCCGACAGTGACATAATCTGACCTCGTCACAGGACCATTCTGGTTTTACAGTGAGCAAGGGAGATGTGAGGAGAAAGGGACAATGGCGAGAAGAGGAAGGCAGCAAGCTCCAAGAGTGCTGGGAGTGGACAGGGTAACAGAAGAGGAGATGGCAAAGTCCTCAAATTCTGAACATATTTTGAAGGCAGAACTCACAATACTTGTTGACAGATGGGATGAGGGGTATGAAAGGAAGTCAAAGAAGGTCAGAACATTTTAGACTAAACAACTAGAAGTGTAGAGTTACTCAGATGAGGCAGATCTGAGTACTGAACTCAGGAAAAAGATAAAAATTAAAAATCAGAAATATATTTTCTACTGAATTGGTTATCACTATCATGGCACTGTAAGTGGAATCATGTAAGATGGAGACCTCTGCAAGGGCTACAGCAGAGGCTAAGCTGGGAAAGAAGTAATGAAAGACAGCGTGCCATCCGTGTGTCAGACAGCAAGTGAAGAGGGAGAACTAGGCAACAGGTGATGTTACAGGCCAGAGCAAACCCTCTGTTACCATTTAAAGCAGACTGATGAAGCTCACCACAGCAGAATTAACGAAATGACCACCACCACTGTCGCTTCCTTGTCATGTACTCCTCAGCTACATGGAGTCTGTCTTCCCCGCCTCCAGAGTACCACTTCACTGCCCTAACTGTGTGTCCCAATGCCACCCGAAGTCTCCTCCTATCTCACTTGCCTTTCCTCTAGTAACAGTAAGTTCTCACAGGCAGAAAGCACGCTTACTCCAGTCCAGAGTTCTGTGCAGGAGCGGGTCTAGCGCTGAACACACAGCTGCCACTCACTAATGCAGCTATTAAAAGAAACTCTTTTGACAAAGCACCCGTCTAGGTTACGATAATAAGAAACAGTAGTCTTTCAACTGCAGGAAGTACCCAGACAGTTATTTATATACACAAAATGGCAATTTTGTCTACATTAAGTTTTTGCTACAATCTTGACTTTCAGAGCATTTTGATCTAAGATTTTCTAAAATATTTTCTGAATTTCAAGTTCACCTTCATTCTCGGAAACTCAGATCCTTCCCTCACCCCCACATCAGATACACACATACACAAACACAAGACAACACAGTTTGACACCCACTTTCATTCTACAGTTTGGAGGGGGCAGAAAAAATGAGGAGAGGCAGATTCTGAACAACCTCAAATATCCAATCCCTAGTTCTCAAAAAAGGCCTAGATGTGAAAACAGCTCCTTGCCAAGTAGAGGAAAAGTTAAAAACAGGCAGACAGGTTTGCTATATAACACTTATTTAAGTCTTTAAAATGCTCAGATACTTCACAAGAAGTCAAAATGTTTTTTGTTGTTATTTGTGGGAAATTCATTAGAATCTCACAGAACAGTTACTGGCCTAGAATGGCACCTTCTCAGCTGAGAGAGCACGAGAATCACTTGTAAAACTTTTAAAAAGTTGGCTGCCCAGGTTCTTGCCCAAGAAAACAGTCCACAGACTAAGGCAGCGCCTGGGACACCATTCTACAATGCAAATCTTTTCTACTAACTGCTATATTTCTTTGCTTTCACTATCTATCAAAATCTCATAAACCTTCTTAAAATGATTTTACCATTAATTACTTTCTTAGAGTGATATAATTAGGGTCAAATCTTAAGAATGACTGCATACTACATATAAAATAGCACTCAAAATCATGGAAATTTTATTTCTCCAAGAAAGGCAATTCACCAGTAACTATAAAGAAAGAAAGAACTGGACTTACCCGTTCCATAGCTGCATTATGGTATGGGAGCTCCTCCTCACTGCAGAAAATAATAACATATGTGAAATGGCTGAAATCAAAGTAAACAGTCATAGCAAACCTATAGGTACTCATGATGTGCAAGATTTATTGGACATCACGAGACTTGTAAGTCTCCATTCCACTGCAGCCAACTGAAAACAATACCTATTCTGTGACAATGCCAGCCTGCAAATCTCCACAAGTGCACTGTCTTATACAGCAGCCACTAACCACACACGGCTATTTCAGTGTAGTCCGTTCAGTTCAAGTGCATGGAAGTCATGTAGGTAAAGGCCGCCACACTGAACATTTCCATCCCTACAGAAAGTTCTAGAACACCGCTCTAGACCCAGAGTCAGCACACTTCTTTTGTCCTAGTGAATATTTAAACAGCAAGTATTTCAGGTTTCATGTACCATACAGTCTTTTTCACAAATACTCAACTCTGATGTTCTAGTGAAGAAGCAGTCACATATAATATGTAAAACAAGTGTGGCACTATGCCCACAGAACTTTTACAAAAACGGCTGGTGAGCTGAATTTGGCCACCAAAGCCAGTCTGCCAACCTCTACCCTAGATCACCATCTCCATTTTTGGCTCCAATTATAGTCTATAATACGTGACTGTTAAAAAACAGCCTCCAACGAATTTATGAATTAAAAAGAAAACACCCACTTCTGTTTTGTACAATAAAGAAAACATTGGCAAAACTTCAAGAGAATTCTTTTTAAATATACAAAAAGATCGCTGGGTGTGGTGGTACACATCTATAATACCAGCACTGGGGAGGCTGAGGCAGGAGGATTGCCATTCAAGGCCAGTCTGCGCCACAAAGTGAGTTCAATGCTAGCCTGAACTGCACAGTGAGACCATCTCTCAAAAAGACCCATTAAAAAAAAATCAACATCATTTCTCTGGTACATGTACGATATCACATCTAATGTAAAATATTTGGAGACGCTCATATTAACTATCAGTAATATAAAAACAATGCTGTCTGTAAAGTAAAATGCTTTCAGTCAGTAGCTTTCTCAGTAGTACTGATGCTTTGTCAGCAATATGTACATATTTTTGCATTGGCTTTCTCTTGCAACCAAACAGTACCACTTTAGAGAGCATGACACATTATTATTCAAGAGTTCAGCATGTTCAAAGGCACTCTTTTGCTACTGGGGAAAGTCCTTAGATGAACCATTGAGCCACCACAATACAACTAACAAAAAAAGTGTAATCACCAAAAGAGATCTTAACAGAGTCTAAGTCCATCATTTCTTAGACAAGAAAACTAACATTTGCATTTAGTTGCTTAGCCCAATACAGAAATGTTTCGATACTATCTAATCCAGTGGACCAAACTAAGATATTCAGCTAGTGCCAAAGCATGTAACGTGAAGGAACAGAGGTTCTGACACCAGTTCTCAAAAAGAAAAGAAACTTTGAGGTTTAAATACAAAAAAGGGGGCTGGGGATTTAGCTCAGCGGCAAAGCGCCTGCCTGGCAAGCGCAAGGTCGTGAGTTCGGTTCCCGGTACCGGAGAAAAACCAATAAATAAATAAATAAATAAATAAGATTTTGAACCTCTACTATAAGAATGTGGTCCAGTTTTCCTAAACAGATTTTCCTTCATTATTTCTTACACCAAAAACTTTTCATGCAAAATCTGCAGTGGGCAGACACAGATCTCCATAGAACTTTTCCTCCTCAAGTCTCTGTGTTGGTGAACGTTATTTTTATCAGCCCTCCACGGAGAACACAGAAGAATGGCACCTTGTAAAGGGCTCCATGAGAGTTCCAGAACCTAAACTGCCGTGCTGAAAAAGCTTAGTAAATGCTAATGCATGGCTGGAATGTCAAACGCATACCTGCAAAAATGCATGCACGTACCCTTACCCTGCCACCTGCACATATTCTTCAAGCAGAGGAGAGGGAGGTCTACACTACGGGTGAATGCAGAGTATTTCTTTAGGTAAGTAAACTGTGGCCCATGTATCAAATCCGGCCCACTACCTATCTTGGTGAATAAAGTTGTAATGGAACAATGCCATCCCATTCACTTAGGCCCTGTCTATGGTTTTTGGGCTATAGCAGCAGAGTGACATAGTTGTGACAAAGATCATGTGGTTCACAAACCAGATCCATTTAGGATCTAGCTTTTTGCACAAAGCGTTTGCGAATCCCTGCTTTCAAGAATAAGGGCTTGCTGGGCATGGTGGTGGATGCTTGTAACCCAGCACTCAGGAGGCTGAGGCAGGAGGATCTCTGTGAATTCAAGGCCTGCCTGAGCTACAAAGTGAGCTCAAGGCCAGCCTGCACTGCATAGAGAGACCCTGTCACAAAAAGACCAAAAAATAAATAAATAAAAATTAAAATTAAAAAAAAGAGTAAGGGCTTATGGGCACCTAAAGGTTGTATAAAGAAAACACCAAGCTGGCAAACAATTATATCTCACAGAAACACAGTGAGTAAAACAGTAACAGAGTTATCCAGGGAAAGAGACTAGCTGGATATATTTGGTCTCTGCTATTAAACTTTAAACGTATTGCTAGTTAGAGCACGATGCCTCTGTTCTCAACAGCTCAGGTGGGCTAGTTCTGTGAATGTGAAGTTAACTTTCATTTATAAACTTAAATCTTAATTTGTTAAAATCAGTATGTCAAATATACTGATTAATTTCATCTTTGTTTTCAAAGTAACTTTTACCTATGTTTAGGCATGACCAACCCAAAATTTATAGGACTGTAGAAACAGTTCTTAATCCCTTGTAACCAACAGATGATTTTTAAAGACAAACACACCTTTATTCTGGCTCTCGTGTGTTTGTATAGTCACAGTAAACTCAGACAGTCAGCTAAATTTTATGAATATACAAATTTTCAAAAGTAGCTAACCCTCTAATGCTTGCTATTAATTTTATCTTCTCTATTTTTGGTACAATTTCCTTTCAATTTTGCTATTAATAACTCAGAAACTAAAGCAACATTTAACATTATCCAAATACCAAGAATTTTTGCTGAGCAGACTAGCAATAGCTATTTTTGACTGAGCAAGCTTGATTCCTCTATTGTCCAGCTGTAACTCCATTACGGGCACAAGATCTGGGGATAATGGCCCACCACCAAGAACTAAACAAAGATGCTGCTGTTCCAACATTGAGACAGGCTGCTTTGGCAACAGCTTTAATATTTATTGTGAAATCTATTGTAAAACCAAATTCGTACCATACTGCACTTGTTAATTACTGTCCCTCCTTCATATAGCATAACAAGTAACTTGAGTTTCTGAAACTGTAGTTAGATATGAATCCATAAGACTTCAGAGAAGGTTACAAGGTTATTTTTTGCCATTTCAATGTACTGACATTGAACTTAAAACCCAATTTCATTATAGAAGCAATCAAAAATAACTAAGCGGGAAGAAATGCTTGATCAAAGTACGACAAGGCATAAATCTAAATGCCTATGTTAAGTGACCTTATTCAGTAGTACAAACAACTCCAGTCTACAATGACATGGAATAAAACCCACTAGAGAAAGCGTTTTACTACAACCAGGTATTGTAACAAAAAAAAAAAAATGGGTTTGGCGAAATTTAATGAAATATTACATTAAAATCCACTTTTATGATTCACTATTTTAATTTTTGCTGCCTGCTTTAGGGCTGCACCATGGAGCAAACATAAAAAAGGACTGTAAACAGAATGAAGAAATGGTACTGATCTGCTTCAATTTCTAAAGAGTGGTGAGCTTAGCTATCTTAGAATACAGATATGTAAACGTATAGACACATTTCCTGTAATAGAAATGATCGCCTCGCTAAGTGATCATCAAATAGGACATACTGCAATAGAAGAGATCAATACATTGCAAAAGATATACCGTAACAGAAGCATCCTGTTTGGATACCCTTCCCACACCACTTCTCATTTTCTTTCTAGGTATCTCCAAGCACTTCTTCGGTACTTATCCTATTTAATACTAGAGGCAGTAACCTGCAGTGTACTACAGTAGTTAGAGCACTGCAGAGAGACTATCCTAGTGCACACCCCAGAACTGACACTCACTGTCAGTGTAACTTGGACAATTTATTTGACTTCTTTGTGCTTCACTTTCATCCTCTACAATAAAGGAGACAAAAAGAGAGCCCATCCCACAGCTTTTAACAGGAACACATGAGTTTAACCATGTAATTCCAGCAATGCCTGGAACGCAGTAAGCATTCAATGGATGTTAACTAGTATTATTAAGGGAAGGTACTGACTGACTTTTCCACATTAGACCCAAATGGAACTTAGCACAAAGAGCAAAAGAGAAATATAAAACAAGTGGCTACAATTTTTGGATTGTCAAATACAGGATAGGATCTCAGGTCAGAAGCTCTTGTTTCTAAGGCTCACTTCATGTTATTTCAAGCAACAGAAAAAAAAATAAAAGCTGGGCAATTAATAGACCTTTTCAGACTATACAAATTTTCATACGTACTTAAAACTGTATTGGACCATTTTATGATTAAAAACCTATCAGAGCAGTTCAATCACATCAGAAATACTTGGAAAGGTCAAAATAAACAGGGTTGTATCTTCTGAATCAAAATCTAGCCTAGAACCCATAAATCTTTTTAATTTCCCAGCTGACTCTATTTTTTTTTATTTTAAAGAGTAGTAAATGAGAAAAAAAAAAAAAAAAAAACAGCAACATACCAACATCACAAACATAAACGAAACAAAGCAAGAACATTAAAAGTGACAAGGGTTTCAAGACAAACTGATAGGAATTAACAGAGGCTGTTATATTACATAGTGTTATCTTCAACTATGTTGCTCAGATCACCAGATGTAAGCATGGAAGATTGTTCAAACCATTAAAGAGAATAAAAAAATAATTATTAGATAAAACATTACAAACAATACACAGTCTCACTAGACAAGATGGTAGGAGTTCACCATGCTGGTTCCATTGCATACTGTTGTCTTCAGATCAGTTGCTCAGATTACCAGACATAAGCATGCATAATTGGTCAGAACATAAAAAATTTTAAGCATTAACCCCAGCTGACTCTAATATGCAGAAAAATTGGGGACCTACAGATCTTAACAGTCTTATTGCACAAATTGTCCTTCAAAACTTCACTTATTATCCCAGATCTACATATTAATCCACACAAATGTGCAGTTATTTCCCATCACATTTATGGTCAAAGCTGACTTTTTTAAAGTAAGTTTAATTTTAAGAGTATTTACATTATAACCAAGTACTCTGTTAGGTCAATGAAGTTCAAAGTCTTCTCAATGGAACTAGTCAGGAGAAAGTTTCAGACATGATAATATCATTTGGTATAATACCTTACATTTGTCCACAATTTTACAAGTTTCTGGACTGAGCATATAGCTCAGTGGCACAAACGCCTTCCTGGCAAGCACAGTTCAATTTCTGGTACCAAAAAAGAAAAAAGAAATTTTCTTACATTTATTTTTCAAACCCTCAAGTTACGTGAAGCAGTTACTAATTCTTATTTTCAGATGAAGCATGAAATGGTTAACTACAGACCAGCAAAATCACAAGAAGGGCATATGCCCTCTAACGCCTAGAATTGTTTGTTTTCCTGCTTACTTTACCCTCAGAAAATACGCAACAAAATAATTTCTAAATGCAAGAAAAAGCTAAGCTGGAGAAAATCAGGTCTGAGTATTATAAGTTCCTGCTATGAACTACAAAAGAAATATTTTCCCTTCAAATTTAATCAAGTTACAAAGGGTGGAAGTGGTGGTGCACGCCCGTAATCCCAGCACTCAGGAGCTTGAGGCAGGAGGATCACTGCAAGTTTGAGGCCAGCTTGGAATACAAAGTAAGTTCAAGGCCAGCCTGAACTGCAGAGCAAGACCCTGTCTCAAAAAGATTTTTAAAAAATCATGTTAGAAAATTTAAATCTTAGCTTTTTCATACTTATAATAAAGCTGGAAAAAAGTAAATCTGAATAAAAATTCAGTTAATCTCAAATTGCATGGAAGCAAAGTACTGAGATGAATAGAAGTCTTTGGCCTGCAGGAATCTGATTTAACAGTGTCAGAAACAAAATAAGGGGGTTTACCTCATTTTATAGGGGTGTTTTTAACAATCAAAATCTGAATTTTTTAGTGGTCCAGCCCTCTTTCAACTCTTCATATAACATACTCAGGATAAATGGAGCTAATCTTGAGAACAATATTATTACTGCATTTCAGCTGTAAGGAAGATCAATGGCATTTCTTGATAATACTCATTTTTATACTGCAGAACACTAAGGTTTTAATTGCTAATCATATTTTAAATGCACATATAAAATTAAATATTTTATAATTATTTTAAAAGTACAAATTGTTATGCATGTGCATTTAATTCTGCTACATTATTAATACAACTAATTTACTGCATTTCATGTTCTTATCGAAAGTCACAAAATACTAAAGATTGTATTCTTAACTATAGTTCAAGTCTAATCACAGAGGTTAAAAACTCCAGGAACCTAGTACCAAAACAGTATATTCTAGGGCCATTTCTGGAATATTATTCATAGAACCTTTATTAAAAAAAGGAAAATCAATATAATATCAACATTATAATAAAAAACGTTAGCTTTCAATCTATGCAACTTACTGCAAAAAGCCAAATCTATCCGTGACTTTGTAAACAAGATAATCAGCATCTTCCCAAGGTTCAATCTCTGCACCTTCTCGTCCCTAAAATTATGGACAAAGAAAAAGGTGTTATTTGGAGTTTATAAAATTGAGTGATATTTTAAATAACAGGACCAAACTCAACAACATTTTTTAAATTCAACTAATTTTGGAAAAGCAGTCACTATTCCTAATTACAAACTATGCAAGGCTCTTTATGTCAGTAACAGCTGGTATGTAGCTGAGCCTTGATTAGACTAGGGCTCCTGCAGGCAGCTTCCGAGGAAGGAGGAGCAACAGGGCTAAGGAAGCAGCTCAGGAAGCAACTGCTCAACTCTGAAAGCCCCACAGTGAGTACTTCTTAGGGGAGAGTGTTTCTTGTCTCTCACTCTAGCTTCTCAGAGGAACAGACCAGATGCCTCTTCGCTCTGCTACTTTGCTGCACAGCTATACTGGCCCTGCAACAACTCTTTCCAATAAGAACTGGCATCTGCTGTCACTCTGCTCCACTCTCCAGGCCTCACACAGAGAAACTGGGAGGCACACTGACAGCACTGCGCACCCCTCTCCCACTTCCACGACCCTGCCTCCTGAGATCTCCTCCTGTCTCTGCGACTCTTCTGCGACTTTGTCGTGGACACCTCTTCGGCTGATACGTTCAGAGTCCTGTTCTCAGCCCACTTCTCTGCTAGGTCATGACTTGTTCTTCGGCCATTAACTAATACTGGTAAGGGTAGGAGCCTAAAGTGAAAGTGTATCAGTTCCTCAAATTTAGACTCAAGCACCCAACTGTCTAGCAGAGGCCTCCATCTAAGTATGTCTTATAATGTTTGCCCACGTGTTCTCTGAGCACACCCTGATGCTGAGCACCCTGTGAGCAAGAACTGCTGAGCTCATTTCTGCATTATAAAACAAAAGAATGCCCAGATCCTGGCCGGCGGTAACTGCGTGGGGTAAGGGAGATGCATGCAAGCATGAATGAATGATAGTTCAACCAGTTTTCTACCAAGTAAGCAGTGAAATAACCTAACTAAGCTTTTCATGTACCGCCGTAAAACCTAAAAACAATAACTGTAACTGTATCTGATGTTTCAAACAACCAACTTAAAAATGAACTCTGGAAATACAACTGTTAAGTTGAATACTGCCTGCATGACTCCCTGGAAGCAGAGCACAGGCCAAATGACTTCTTATAACTTCATGTACCTGCTATTCTCAAATAATAAAAAGTTAAAAAAATACATAATTACACAGTGATGCAAATGTAAAAGATGACATTTGTAAATAATTGCTATGACGCATTATCAATCTCAAGAGGTAAGGCAACATATAAAGAGACACGTAAATTACCAACAATTGTGTTTTTCTAGGACATCAAGAAACAGATTCCATACTAATCTAAGGATAAAATGCTAACAGAAATTACACATAAATGTATTAATACAGTATCTAAGATCTTCAGTAGTGCTGTTTTATAGCAACACACATAAAATATGCATACCGTGCACATTAAATTCTCCATACTCAGTCAAGTACTTAACAAATACCTAGTATGTCAAGAACTGTTCTAGGTATTGAAGATACAGGAAACCAAACAAAAGAAACCCTTGTCACAACAGAGTTACATTCTAGGAGAGAGACAACAAATAGTGTACAGAATGGTGATGTACAAGTGCTATGGTGAAAAACGAAAGGGATACAGGATGCCAGGGTGCGAAGGTGAGCGGCCAACGCGGAGGTCGGAGAAGTCTCACTCAGAAGGCAGTGTCCAAGCAGGGATGTGAAGGGGCGGGAACGAGGCGCCAGGACACACAGTACAAAGCAGAGCGAGCAGCCAGGGCACAGGGCCCGTGGCAGGAGCAAACCTGGGGGCTGAAAGGCAAGACACTGGTGTGGCGGAAAGGACACAACCTGGAGGTGAAGCAGGGGGAGAACAGGTGAGCTTAATGCCCCACAAAGTAAAAACTGCTCCTGTAATTTCAGCCCTACAAAAACAAATCCCTTTCTATTTATATGGTTTTTCTAATAACACTCACTCGAAGAGTAAATATGGATACTTACTCTGTCATATTTAGCAACGATTTCAGCTCGTTCTCTGGCAAGTTTGAGTGCTACATCCTGGTCCGAATCTGTGGAAAGACCCAATTTAGGTGAACTATTATTCAAAGAACTATAAGGTTAAGTAATTACAAACCAAGATAAAATTTTTCAAAAATTGCCTAAAAGGAAAAATCAGCAAAATCCTATAAATTTAAAAGGATGAGTTAAAAATCGGTCACAACTTTAGAATATCAACATATCTGCCATTATATGACATTTAAAAGAAAGTAAATTTATCAACATTGCACACACTCAGGACATAATAAATCTTACCCCTCAAGAATCAGTTCTAGGTCTAAAATTTTATAGAAATGGTAACTGAAATAGAAACTGAAATGAAAAGCTCTAACTTTTCAGATGATGTCCAGTTGGGCAGAAGATAAGAAGATCACTGAAAAAGGCTTTTAAGAGTTATGATGAATGAATTAGTATACGATACATATCAGTAGCTATCAAATATTGTGCAGTACTTGATGTCAGTTTAGGCTTTCACGTCCTTGCATCAGTTCCTCAACGACGACAATACCCTCCTAGCCAGCCTCTGTCTCTAGTCTTACCACAGGCACATGCACACACGCATGTACAAACCTTTCTTCTTTAACAGGGATAGCTTCCAAAAACACAACTGACAACCAAGCAGAGACCATAACATGAAATGGTATGGATATGATTATATATCCCAAGTCCTATAAATAAAAAGACCAATGACAAATTGTATCAATCGCATCTCTAGTCAGGAAAATATAGCATTCTAATGATAAACTGGACAAAGACCATGAATAAAAAATTCACAAGACTAATTCACAATAGTAGCGCCACCTGTATTGTCTTCTTACTAAGATGCCTGGCAGACAACACGATACTACCAGACACTGAGCCTAGCACTACCCCATACCTTATCACATTTAGTTTTCACGACACTACTCAAAAGTAGGTATCCTTAGTAATCCCACACCAGTGAAGAAGTTTAGAGATTTTAAGCAACTGGTTCAAGGCCATAAAGCTAGTAAAAAGGCGAAGGTAAGATTTGAACCCTCATCTTTACTCCACATCCCACAGCTTTCATCACTTTACAGAGACCCCCAGTTAAAGACAGCAGATGGATTACACACTTTTATATCCATTTCTTCTGAAACTCTTCTCAAATAATAATTTAGGAATTTCTGGGACCTACCCTGGCTTCTAAAGGCCCAGAAAACGGTGGTTGTCAAGGAGCGGTAAGGGTGGACTTGAAAAAAGGGAATTCATTAATAGGATTCTCTTTCATAACTCCCCAAGAGTTGAAGGAATATGTGATGTGTGGCAGAGGTAGGTGCAGGCTGGAGAATCAAACCATCACTCTCCAAAGTAGGAAACCAATGATAACATGTAAAACTGAAAAAACACGAAATGGCAATATAGCCATGGTACCTACCCCTCTGGAAGTAAACACAAAACCCACTGGCCGGCGCGGTGGAGAGGGACGAGGTGGAGAGGGGCAACTTCCCCCTGTGGGCAGTGAGGAGTATGGAAGTCAGCTGTTTACAAAAGTCTGTTACAGACTGCTGAATCTTTACGCTAATTACAGCTCTGATAAAAATTAGATCTAAATTTAAGAAAACCAAGACATGGGAAAAAAACCAACCTCACTTGTAACTAAAAAACTAAGTTTTAAAATATCAATTTGCGTCTATCTCAGACTAACCAAAAAATGTAGTAATATTCATTTATCACAGCACAGGGGAATTTACAGTTCCTTATATTAACAATAAACCCACAAAGCCACACGTTCTAGAAAGTACGTAATTCAAAAATATGTTACCAGAAATCTTTAAAAAAAAATATCAGGCATCTCCTTTGCCCAGCAATTCCACCTCAAGAGATTTATGTCACTGAGATAATCAAACAACTACAAGATAAGCCGGGTGCACATCTGTAATCCCAGCACATAGGAGGCTGAGGCAGGAAGATCACTGGGAATTCAAAGCCAGCCTGGACTACATAGTGACATTTTCCCCCCAAAAAAGACATGATTGTTTATAATAGTCAAAACAGCAAAATGGGAATTGATAAATATTTTAGCTTGGGGGGAATAAATATTAATGTCACTTTATTTTCAGAGTATAAAATGTTAATATGCTGTCCTCTAGTAGAGGTGTAAATAATAAGTAGAACGGGTTAATAACAAAAATACAAACTAGCTGCTCAGATTTTCACAACGAACTATGCAAACATAAATCTGAAATATATATATATATATTTTTTTTTTTTTCCTATTACCCTGTTTTTGACTTATGAGCCTTTGTCAGTTCCTTTTTTCCCTTTGGCTATTCACTTTTAAAACATTACACACATGCTTCTACTGCAGGTAAGAAAAGCAAATGCATAAAAATTTAATTCAAATTAGGGACCTTGACTACTTATTAAACTCTGTGTCTACTATTAGAGCTATCAAATATAAATTTCTTTGTGATTAGGCAAAACTCTATAGATGGAGGTTTTCATGGAATTTTTTTTAACACCAGTTGTTTATTCCCCTCTACCAGTAGTCCTTGGAATCTCCTTCGTATTTTGGACATAACAGTGAGAAAGAAGTACAATAGTAGAAAAGCAAGAACTGGAACCCACATGGTGGGAACTGAAGATGCCGAGCATCAAAAGAAAGCTATGGCAAACTGCAAGAGCTTTACCCAGATCACTGTCGGGCAAGAGACTTCCAGGAAGAAAAACCTAACCACGTAACAGAGGGCCTACTGAAATTGGATAAAATTGCTTCCTGACTTTCTGAGAGAAAGATCACGTACAATAACCTCAGCAGAACAGTTGATTCTAATCAATAGTAAATGAACTCTTAATCTCTTTTTTAATTCCCTTACATTTCTTACCCTTATATTTCTCCATGAGAAGGAAATTTTTTAATATTTATCAACATAGTCTAAAAAGAGATTGGATTTAAAGCCAAACTAATTTTGTGAAATATATCCAAATCTGCTTCTTTTAAGAGACAAAATAGAAATGCCAATCATTCCCAACATGAAATTTATTTATTAACCCACACTGTGAGGTAATCATCTATAGAAGACAAGTAGTATCTTTAGGCAGGGTTCTTACTGTCTGAGCTGTAGTTGAGAAGCGTATTAAGAACTGTTCTACAGTAATTCCTTTGGATACATTCTGATTGCTTGTTTAGAAATTCCACTGAAGGAACAAGAGTTTACCTTAAAACACCAACAGCAGCAGCAATACCATTATCTGTGTACAAGTATGCACAAAGCTCTAGGCACCTACAAAGCAATGACGGTTGTGTTGTTGGATACTGTAAATTTTTATCAAATAAAAATTTAATGACTTTATGGTATAAATTCACATTATATCTTCATGCTCCTCTTGTGTGACAAATCCTTAACTTACCGGTTTACCTATAAAAACATGGTTTAAAGTACAATAGTAAACATTGCCAAAATATTATGGTAGTTAAAGTATAACTCAACATGGTTGCTGCTTAATTGTAGCTGAATAAAAAGTTGCTGTCCTTAAAAATAAAACCATATAGAAAAAATGTGGAACAACTACTTTAAATATCACCCTTCTTTTTTCACCAAGATGAAGGTTTTGTGCTCAAGTAAACAAATATATCTTTGGACACAAATTTATGCAAGTAAATAATAATTTTTTATCTAAAGCTTTTTTAATGCTGCTAAATTAACCCCAAATTAATACAAAGTAACTAAACATCAAATTCAGTCCAACAGCCTCAGCCTCCCAGTGCTGGGATTACAGGTGTGCACCACCATGCCAGCCCTAGTGTACATTTTGACAGATCAGTGTTAAGTATATAAAACAGTATTGTATTTAACAGTATTAAACCAATGCTTAAAAGTACTTTACCTTTTGTTGGATAATCAGTCTGGCTTTCGGAAATGACAGCTGTTTCAGTCCTCATAGAGTAAACTAACTATTCCAAGATTTCATTATTATGTTATAATTCTCAAGCACACCAAAATACTTAGGTGGTACCTCACACATTCTCCAATTAATTGTAACCAAAAAGGCGAAGGCAGCTAGCTTTACTTTAAATTCTTTGTAAACAAGCAAAGAAATCTTTAAAAAGCCTGAGATGCAGTCTGTCTTTTTCCAAGGGCAGAAAAAGGACCTTGCTGTGGCTACATGCACTGCAGATATCAGAACAAAGATGTTATTTGTTGAGGGTGAAAACATGTCTTGCAGGGTAGATCTCAACTATGAGCCACACCAGCCCACACCCAGCATTCCATTTAATAACAAACAGGGGCTTTAACCATGCAGCTTCATAGTATGTCCTAATCTTCTGCTTGAAAATTAGCCACACATTCTTAATACTTTTATTGAAACTTGGAACGAGAAAATTTTATTTTGATCATTAAATTAAAAGTAAGCAGAACTGTTCTTCAAGTACATTTTATATCTTACCACAATTTTAATGGTAGTTTTTTTTATACTAGAGACTGAACCCAGGGGTGCTCTACCACTGAGCTACATCCCTGTCTTTTTTTCTTTTGAGACAGGGTCTCACTAAGTTGCCCAAGTGGGACTTGAACTTATCTTCCTGCCTCAGTCCCCTCAATGCTAAGATTATAGGTATGCACCATTAGTTCACGGTTAATGATAATTTTTAACATGAAATTTTCAGCCACTGATTCAGACAATAAGCAAATACATACTACAGTAGTGGTTTTGAACATTCTTAACATGTCACACACTTAAAAGCAAAACAAATATCTCATGAGACAATATGTACAAGTACTACAGGATGACAATGTTAAATTTTTTGTTCTATTTCTTCTTTACTTTTTCCAGTTACTGTTTTCTTTCAGTGGGCACAGATCTATAAATCTGAAAAACACTTGGCAAAAGTAGTATCTTTGTTTGAGGGGTGCCTATGGACATTAATTACACTCTACTGGATACTAATAAACTAAGTGTATGCTCAGTTTAAGTTATTTGGAATATCTAACAAAAGCAAAGGATCTCAGAAGCACAGCAAAAGGAAAAATTTTCAAGTCATATACCAAGGAATGAGAATCCAATTAGCATTAAACTTACTGGCTAGAATACTGTAAACACTATTTGCAAAATTCTGAGAAAAAATTATGAACATATATGAGGAAAAATAAAAAAAGGTTTTGCTATTTAAAAGCGTAGTCAGTGACCTCCCCTTAAAAAAAAATCTCCACATCTGAATCGTAGGAAAAGGCAAAAAAACCTGATTCTCCCCTTGCAGCTCTAGAAGGAACCAGCCCTGCCAACATCTTAATTTTGGCCTATCTGACCTCCAGAACTAAAACTGCTGAAGAATAAATTTGTGTTGTTTAAGCCACTAAATTTACTTTAATTTGTTTCACAGCATGCAGACATAGGGATACAAAGTCTGCTCCCTATGTAATGCTTCTTTGAAAAAAAAAAGGAATTTACAAGGAAAAGCAATCAACAATAAACAGAACCGACACTCTACGTGACCACGTGTGGTCAGGCTCCCTTGAGCCCTCTCTTCCTTGGGCCTTGTTGACGCTATCCTGTGTTCACCCTACCTAACCTAGTTGTAGCAAGAGTCCTGTTAAATTACCTTGATGAAAATCCCCCGACCCATGACATCTGATCATCTTGATAGCTGGTCAGGGTCCTTATCACCCACCCCTGGCCTGCTTTCAGCAAGAATCCCTGTCTCCTCTTAGTAATTTTTCACACACTGACCACCCCCTTACCCTTACAAATCCTTGTCCTTGTGTGTCTGGAACTGGTCCCAATCTCACTTCTCTATTGTGTCTGTCTTGACACATATTTCTGTAGTCTTAAAATCTTTCTTACTTTTAATAACTGTCAGAATAATTCTAACAAAATCAAGGACACCGACCTTTGATCCGCTCAGTAACAAGAGGCCATGTTAGGGTTTAAATATTGAGTGCTCGCCAGCTCGTTTACTGAGGGCTTGACCCCAAGGCAGCAATGTGCAGAGTGGGACCCCAAAAGGCAGCTGCGTTGTGAGAATGCTAACCTTATAATATTCATACCCAAATCCATGACACCTCTAATTCATTAATGGTTTTAGTTGCTTGTGACATATAAAGATTATTTAAAATGTTAAAATCTTAATAGGTACCGGGGCTAAAAACTTCAGCATTTATTTGGCCATATTATAGATCCAAGGCCGAATGCTCAGCCGGTGAACAAGCAGAGTGAAGTAGTTCAACATCAAAACACAGCTGAAAACAGACAAACCAAGTAAGGAAGGCACCAGAAGAACCTGCAGAACCGCTCATTCTGCGCAAGATGAATGAAATATGGACACCAAAGCGGCACATACACCTATACTCCTGAGATAACCTGTTCTGAAAAAGTATTCTGGGATATCTCAAGTGAGGACATGACCTGGTGGTCCTCTAAAAAGAACTGATCTAGGACCTCCTCCTGCCCCTTTACCCCACCAGGAAGCCATCCATAACCCAGAGGACTCCAGCCCAGCCCTACTCCCATCTTTCATATTTGCATCAACTCCATGGTTTGCAAGTGGCTTTCCAAAAATGTAAAACTTCAGAAAACCGTTTAATCCTCTGTTCTCTCCCAACTAATGTATTACTCCTTGAAAATCATTTGGCCTTTTTCCTTCTTTCTTGGTAAACAACAACGAAAGATTCTAATGATAGCTACAATTATAAAAAGAGTACAAATAATTCTGATAACAAAAAGGAGGGCCAATGAATAATGGACACAGAACAAGTTCCATAAACTCAAAGTCTTCATAGGTGACATATTTCCTCTCCTGAACAAGTTTTCACATACATTTTCATATTTTCTAGTTTAATATACAGTACCTGATATAACAAAATCATTCAAAAAAAACAAACCTAGGCTCTTCAATATTATCAGCATACAAATGATTTATAACTTTTCTTTGAAAATATTTCTTATACACTATTAGCATTACTACCAATATTTACATGTTTTAAATTAATAGTTTTTAAATTTCCCTTAAATTTGCAGAATACATTTCTTCAGATAAATTCCAATTAGAAGCCCAATTGCTAAGTAAATAGAATAAGTTTGGAAGGGGACATAGCAAAGTTCTACTAGCCTGGTATCTTAGTTACTTTTCTCTCGTTGCTGAGACAAAATACCCACCACCCAAAATTAAGATAGAAAAGGTTTATTTAGCTCACAGTTTGTGGAGGTTTCAGTCCATACTCAGTTGGCTCCGAGGCAGAGTGGTGTAGCACTCAGGCACAGGCAACAGCTCAAGGCAGCAGAAGACAGCAAAAGCAACAAGAGCAACAGGGAGGGGAGGGCAAGCCTCTTTCCCTCCCTTGTGCTGTATGCCGGCTATCCGCCCACACCCAGGCCATCTCTGTGCCCTCCTCTTCTCAAGTGGACACGGGGTATCAACCACTGCACCTGGCCTCCTCCATCAGTCAAAGCAACCCTAAGGCCCTGGGCAGCACTGCCAGGGCTCGAAGAGCAGAAAGCACACTGCATTTGCAGACTTTCTTTCCTAAGAGCATTTGCAATGTTACTGCTCAAACAATTTCCTTTCTAATCAGACTCCAGCTGCCATCTCAGTTATCCTATCACAGTCCTCACAGCTATGTCCTGCCCCTCCTTCTGCAAAAAGAAAGATCAAGCATGTGTAACTGGCAGATTGTTTTATTTGTAAGCATGTACTTTTAATATCACTAAGAACAAGGCGGTCACCAATACCTTACATGTAGAGCACACAGCATCAAGCAGGCACTTAATGGTTTTATAACAAAAAAACTAAGTTACACTTTTAACAATTCCCCAGCAAGCTTCTTTACTTGTTTCCCAATTTGAAGAAATAAAATAATTTTTAAATTCTAAAAAATAACTGCTCACAAAGACTCATTATAACACAGAAAAGTACTGTTATTTCTCAAATTTAATCAAAAGTTGAACTGTAGCCTGCTCCATATTAGCACTACCTATTGTCATAAAGGTAGAGCTGGCCAGTGTGTTTTTGATCTGCTGTATTTCCACATGTGGTACCTCGACTATTTTAGCGAGTAAATTTATTTACATGTCTTTTCTATTAAACTATAATTTCCACAAAGGACAGTGTCTCTTATCCATCCTGGTATTCTCTAGTACTGTACCTATTACTACCTATCACAATGCCTAGCACATGCTAAGTACTCACTAAATATTTCTTTTAAGAATAAAGTTACTGAGAGTTCATCATTCAACAAAGTAAATATTTTTAATATATTCACGTATGCTTAAAATCAGACTCATCAGGTATAACGTAACTGAAAAAGTATACTTTTGCTAAAACTTCTTAGCTGTCTTTTACATATTTATTCAACTTTTTATTCTATTTCAAGGCAGCATTTAAAGTTGTGATTAGTACAACTGAGACATGAGAAGTCCTGAACTATCTTTTTACAGTAGCACTTCTGATTAGTATGAAGTCTGCCCTAAAGTAAGGCCCTCAGAAGATGAAGGGCCCAGGGACGCACCTGTCTTCCCACACCCTCCTCTGCCAGCTCCTCCTCTTTACCTTGCTCCCAGTCTCCTCACAGAACTCCAGGCTCACTTTCCTTACCAGAAGGTTCTACTCTCTTGGCTGTTGTGCTCCCACCGCGTGTCAAGTCCATGTGTGGCCTGCAGCCACAGCAGCATTCAGTGCTCTCCGCCACACTCCCCACCCACTCCTCCAAAGGGCGCAGAAAGACTACAAATCAAGGGTCTGCAACTGGGCGTGGCGAAGCTCCCCTGAAATCCCAGCACTCTGGGAGGGTGAAGTGTGGGAATCCAAGTTCAAGCCTAGCCTGGGCAAATTAGCTGTCTCAAAACAAAACTTAAAGGAGAGCCTGGGGCTGTAGCTCAGTGCCAAGGCCTTCGGTTCAATCCCGGGTACCAAAGGCAAGAGGGTCAAGGGTTTGAATGAAGCAGCCAACATGACTGCCCCGCTTTCTCTGTGTGTCTGGGCAGGTGCTCTCTCGGTTCTGCTCTCCACACAGGAGGGCACCTATCGTCAGCAGGACACTTGGGAAGTCGGGCTGTGATAGTGTCATCAAGGGGGGAAGTCAAACAAGATGACAGTCCCTTTCAATCAGCCAACAGAGATGTTTATCTCCTGTGCCTTACTTCTTAGGAAGAAACAGTACCACTCTGACTTCCAGGAATCCCCCACATCAGA